TGTTCGTGGACAGAGACATCTTGCGGCTCCTTTTCGTGGCGGCTACACGCTTGTTAGTGGAGATGTCACAGAAAGAACTTTGGCTAGTTGTCCAGGCGACGTACTCGATGTAATGGGCCAACTGGGTGATACACAAGAGGGCGCTGTCGATACCAGGATGCTTGATGCTCTGGGCGTGGTAACGCTCGTTGAGTTGGCGGAGCGTCAGGAACGTGGGGAGCTTCGACCGTTCCAACTTCCCCAAACCATCGATCTCCTCCCTCAAAGCCTGGCCAGCCTGGTCGAGGAACGTCTTCGCAAGGGTGCTCGGATTCCCTGAACGGCAGAACTCGGCGAGAAATCCATGGGTATCAAGTGACTGATCTCCGAAGAGGAGATAAGACATCATGTCGGCCATCTTGAAGGGTTGTCGACATAGATTTCCTAGGGTGATGAGGTTCCGATGGTCTGGAAAAAAGAGTATGTCTGTAGGGGAGAGTCTCTTGAACTTATATGACTGAGATGGGCTCGAGACAGGACGGGCAACGGGTGTGCACACCAATCCAATAACAGACCACCTCCCGAGTTACTCAACCCAGCTGTCAATGTCATGGCTGATGGATAGTGGTATCAATCACAACATGCAACACATGCTGGTAAGAGAGGGAGTGAGGTAAAAGGGGAGGGGTGCGTGGACAGAATCCATCCCAAGTATCCGCACGCCCCCGTGCACCCCCTTCCCTTCGTTCGCACTAGGGCCCATCCTTCTCTCGCCCGGGTGGCTAGCGTCAGTCCGGCCCTGAGAATCCTCGGTGACCGAAGTTCATGGATGATTTTCAGTGTCTTGCCGCTTCGGTCGAGACCCATTGGTTCAGGGCAAGCGATCAAGGCCGCCACACGGGCTTCCCTACTCCAATTCATCTATGCTGAGTGAACGGGCAGCCGGACAGACAGAGGAAGGACCGCAATGGGCCGCAGCGCGGCAACTCGAGCGGAAGCAAGGCAGAGCGGAATTTGGCTCACGCTTTTTGCCAATGTTTCTCACACTCGAGGATCCACACGCCCAGGCCGGCGCCGTGGAGAGAGGGATAGAGAATGTACCGGCTCGTGTATCGATTACTCGTGACTCGGGCTTCTTGGATGGCACATATCTCGAGTTGGAAGTAAGCAGTAGTAAGTGTACCTGTCGGTGGAGCATGTCAAGTACACCTTGGCCAAACATGACGTGATGACACCAGGAGTGTTGCCTGGTCTACCTGTCCAGAAGCCATGATATACTACCGTATAGGGTAGGCAGGTAGCGCAGGGCTGTACAATAGCAGCGTCGTGAGTTACCTTACGGGACGAGTTTCGAGCAAGCTCGCATGGCAGTCGAAAGAAAACGAGTTTCGATCTCGGAAGCGTTAACAGCAAGAACACGATCGAAAGCGGTGAAACGGGTTTGAGAAGAAGACGGTCCGTTAAGGGTAAGCACCAAGATTACCTCGTTAGGCGTGATCGAGGGTGCTGGAAAGGCGTCAACCTGGGAGCAGGGCTGGCATCAGAGGGACGTCGAGACCGGACCACGTCGAGCCTGCACCAGATGTCATGAGGAGAGTACTGAAGAAGGTAAGCAGAGCAAAGATACGAAACATGGCCACGCAGGGCAGCAGCATACGGCACCATGGTAGAAACGGTCTGGTGAAACTGCGCAATACGAGCCAGGCCGGGTGCGCAGACTGGGTCTCTCACAGCTCGCGATGCGGCTTCCCCACATGGAGTTGAACGGCGTGTCAGGCAATTCGGCGGGCGGCAGGCCTGTCGGATTCCAAGAGAAGAGCTCGGATGGAGAGCGCGTAAACAGGGTGAATGGGCGTTGGGTAGGTCGATTGCGGATTGCGGGATGCGGACTGTGTGCGATTGTGGTCGTGGTTGTGGGGGTGGGCGCTGGGTCGACGCTTTGTCCGACGGACATCCCCATGGACATTGCCAAAGCGAGATGAACCCAGAGATAGAAACCAAACCGACACGCCCCACGCCCCCTCCTTTTTGGGGGCTTCAGGACCAATGGATGATCATGATTTTGGCGTTTGGAAGAGAAGAGGCGAAGGATTAAATGGCAATGGTTGCTGATGTGTCGGATTTAGATAGAATGCATATCGACGTTTGGTGATCTATCGCGAGCACTGGTGGATGGATGTCCAGTTAGAGATGGCAGAAGAGGCTGACGGGCTGGAAGAAGGATGCGAGACGTTGCTGGGTGAAGTTCGGAGAAAAAGACACAACTGCCCTGCCCTGGCTGACGTCGTCGGACTTGACGGTGGTGGGGGAGAACGGCGGCGGACGGGATGCGGGCAAGTGGTGGGCTGCGGCTTGCGGCTTGCGGCTTGCGGCTCTCAAGGAAGTTGGACGACGCCCACCACCGCACTCCATGTTCCTTCCTTCATCGATTGAAAAGATACGTTCCTGATTCCGATACGTACCAAGCTCGGATAGGTAAGCAAGGTGGATCGCTTCCTTCTTCCATTGCCCACCGTTGCCCCTTTTGGTGCAAGAGTGGGGTCTCGGGCCCCGGCAAGTAAATGGGCAAGGGGGAAGAGCACCACCTTTCGATCTCACCTCACCTCACCCCACGTCCGGTAGGGCCAACAGGTGGGCACGTACCGATCAAAGTGGGCACAACTTGCAAAGTGAGGGTGTTGTCGTCAAACGCCTTCCTCTCTTTTCCTGCCCACGCACCGTGGCACCTTAACACCGCCCAGCTCCTACCAATCCACCCAGTGCTATTCCCGTCCACCTCATCATGCTCATGTCAGAACAGGAGAGGAACGTACCGCCCCTTCACCTGAAAACTGTGGTACCCAGAATAGCTGTCTCTTGACTTACCTACCTCAGCAGGAAAGCGGATATTCTTGATACCTACCACGCCCTTCCGAGTAAGGTACTCCCGTAGTGTACCTATCCCTACATCGACATCCATATCCCTATTCATAGTGAATATGCAAGTTACAGCGCCCGGTACCGAGGAAGGTATCGTTATGGGAAGCTTGTTTCTCCATTCTTTAGCTGCATCTGGGAAAGCATAGACTGTTCAGCCGGTCTTTATCCAGAGAAACGGTCACTGATACTGGACTGTACCGTTCCCAAAAGAAACGAGGCCAACGCAGGTCCCCAAACACAAGTCCACTCACCTCTTATGGGTAGGTCAATCATCGCCTCTCGATGATGGTCGGTCAGCAACACGTACCTCAGTACACGGTCAATGTACCTTTGGCAGTACCTTACTTCGTACCTGGGAACTCCGGATACAGCCAGTAGGTAGGGTTGGAGTTGGAAGGCAAAAAATGTGCGGACGGTGCGGTGCGGGCCATGGATGTTCCGGGAAGATCCCTTTTCTATTGTCGCCAGGTCTATCGTTCTTCCCTTCCACTTCGTGAACCTGGTTCCGGTACGTACACGGCCACACGGCGAACCTTGGTCAGGGCAAGCGTGGCACTCGTGGCCTTGTCTCTCGGGGCTCGCATCCCCTTCCGCAGCCTTGCCTCTTCTAGTAAGGCGTCGAGGCAAGGGGTCCCATTTGGCGTCGTTTCCCCTTACGCTTATTCCTATTCTCTGGAGCCGGTTCAGAGCCTCGACCTCTTCTTAGTGAGAGGGGACTGCAGATCATCTCCTTGACTCCATCTGCCAGCTCCCTTGCCACGCCGTGCCATGGGCCGCCTCTCGAGCCAAATCTCCACTATCTTCCCGGATGCCGTGCTTCGACCTCGACCGTCGAACAGGCCATCGTCTATTGTGGGCATAGTCGACTTCCACCGTTCCACCGGACACGCGCGCGCGCGCACGCTGCACCTAATTACCTACACCACTACCTCCATGCACTCACTGTACGCCCTGGCGGAAGCTCTCGCGGAGCCTCTCGCAGAAGCACAAGCGCGGCGACGGCGGCGGCAGGAACAGGAACGCGCTCTGGAGTTTGAACAAACGTCCCCACTCGTACCACTCAAGCGCCACTCCAGTCGGCTTCGTCTCTACTCTAGGCCCTCTGTGTCTGTATTCCAAACATTCGATTACCAAACACAAGCACCGCTGGCAAAACAGCCTGCGTCAGCACGGTGCCACACGTCCTAGAGGACATCGCTTTCATCCGATACATGGCACATGCCGTTTGGAAACACTCGGATGGCAAAGACGGACAGTGATAGAACAGACCGACACACTCGTACGCATCCACGCACTCGCTCCATGCCTCACCTTACTTTCCTCTGTCTTGGGCCCTTTGCTCAGCTGTGCTGGAATTCAGATGCTTCTTTCACAAGCACCTTAATCGGCTCTCCCGGCTCTCAGCACCGACCTATTTCTTCCTTTTTCCAGAATAACCTGGAAGCCACAAGTGGTATCCGAATCAACGGTCCGACGGACAACGGCCAAACCAAATCCGATCATGTCTTTCATCGTTTATGTTTGCTCAGGATCTGGTCCAGGCAACTTACACACATCCTAGGCAATATCAGGCTGACGACCAGAACGACGACCGCAACACAATGATAAATCGCCCCAGAATGCGAAGTACGGTATACGGTGCTGCACTGCATGGCTTAGCACAGGACATTTTTCGATTTGATATGCAGTCCCAAATTCGCTCTCGCTACCTTATCTTACTTCATTCAACGTTTGCAGGCTTTGAGATTGGCCGGTACTTGCAACGGCTCATTGCCTGCCTCTTCAGGCTGACTCTGACAAGCTTCAGTTTCCAGAATACCATGCTTCCCTGCTGTCTTGGCTTGTGAACTCCAGCATCGCTGTGATGAGAGGGGCGTGGGCATTGGCCACCGTGGAGGATGGAAAGGGCGTGGTCCTAGTCGGCCCGTACGCCATATTCCTCGCAAAGACGTTCAACGCGGCACATATGTGGAATGCATGCCTTATCTGGTCATTCATCCCAATACCTAGCGCCTGCCTCTGTTCCGCCCCAGTGGGCAGTTGGGCAAACGAGAGACACTCTTGGATGCGGCGTCTCGGAGCAGGTTGTGCCCCAGTCGCGGTCAGTCAGTAACCTGGTCCACTGTCCATATCGTGCTGCTGCCAGATAAGTGGTTGGGTATGGACGAGATACGTCTAGTCGGTGCAATGCTCACCTGAAAGTCGGCCGTCTTGAGCAGCGGGGACGGACGGGCTTGGTGGCGCACAGCCAAGCTCAACCGGGCTACCGCGTTAAGCCTCTTCAGGCCACCCAGACCCAACGTTGGTCGGCGCCCCATGGTCGACGAAGACCATGTTCGACTGATATCTGAGGCGATAGTGGTACTTTGCAGAAGCCCGTATTTGAGACGGATCTCGACGACGTTCTGCCAGGAGGAAACCATCTGCGAAGATCCTCATGTAGCTATCTAATGAGGATCCGATGCCTAGGCGACAGTCATACATTGTGCGGACGGAGCATTGGGCGGCCACCGAATGCCCGAGTCTCGAAATCATCCATCTTGACGGCAAGCTAGAAATGGATGACTTGCAGATGCAGCAATATCAGGTAGAATTGTATGCACACGAGAAACAAGCTGACCTTCTCGTTCTTTTCCTGGTATTGATTGCGATGATGGACGGGCCGCCATGGGATATTGTTCGTCGATTCGCATTGCAACTGCTGTCTTGAATTGCCCAGGCCTTCGGGATCCCACATTGCACGGCACAGGATATGGTCAGAACAAGGACATTGTTCGAAATAGACCTTCGTGATGCTTTCCACAAGGTGCGAGCTGTCGTCTTGTTTGTCTACGGGCAAGGTGAAAACAAGGACGACAATGGAGATGTGGTGGGATGCTCTAGCGGATGTCAAGTCGTAGGTGAACCAATCACAAAATCGCCGGCGAGTCCGCGCAGCCCAAATGGCACCCTAGAATGGAAGTTCTGACCACTAATCCAAACCTCAGTAACTGGCCACAGGCTCTTCTTAGGTGCCTTTCGCTCTTCTACTGCAAATCCTCCACTAAGACCACTGCTTCACCACCGAACCTTAGCAGCCAGCTTTATCCGAGGGCGGCCCGCTGTCTATGCTATCCCCGTTGCCACCAGCGACAAGGGATTCCTTCTTCATGGGGCAGTACAGAGTACAGTGGTAGCAATGGGTACTAGTACACAACACACGATGTGGCTTTTATCGACTCACAGCGCCTAAGATACCTTATGTTGTACGAGCCCAGGGCACTGTCGCATCCTCCCGGCGCCCAAAACCCAAAATACGGAGGGAAGGAGGGGAGGAAGAGATGGTGGGGGAGGGCTCACCAAGCCCAGGCTCTCGGAGACAAGGACAATCCTTTCCCGGCCGGCGCTCACCTACACTGGACGTGTTAACTCACTCTGTCCAACAACTCATCTCACCGCATCGGGACTGAGCCTCCTTATCTCGAAATCACTCACTCACTTTGGCTTCACTTGACGAAGCCGGACACGCGGGGGTCGAATCCTGTCATCGCAGCACATCGCCAGATTTCACACCCCGCTTCACGCCCTTCCCCTTTTCCATCTCGCACTTTACCTTTCGGGGAACAGCTTACCTTGCTTGACACGGCCTTAGCCTGCGATGCTTGACTTCGTGCCTAGCGGCATGCTGATCTCCAACGGTCCCCTCCCCAATAGAAGAAAAGGAAACGAAACGCGACTAATCACTAGCAGGAGACAAACGGGCATCGTAAATCCTATCCGTACTCCCTCACAGAAATAGATTTGATGGCTTGGCTACTAAGACCTACGGCGGGATGTATTCTCTGCCCAGTGCCGGAGTACCCTCCACCATTACTCAACTCCGAGAGCAATCTGCACCCGGCTAGGTGTTGGTCCTGGTTCACCGCAAGACGCTATACATCTGTCCGGAGGGCAAACGATCGGAATCGGCGCCGCGGCTTGTCGTCTCATGCCGGCTCTATCCCTTCAGCCAGCCTCCTGGAGCTATGCATGAGCCCAACAGCAATGGTGTTGGTCGATCGCATTTACCACAACAGGCCTATTGCCTTGGTATGGTCGAACGCCCTCTCTGTGCTACCTCGCAACTCTCCCAAGTCCCAAAGTATGGATAGCAGTATGTGAGACACATCAACGTCATTTCTATCTCGACCGGGAAGCTCTGCAACAAGGTGCCGCCATGAGCCACAGCCTTGGGCCTCCTGCCAATAACGAGTCATCTCTCTCCGTGCATCCGGACTCCATTGTTGGCCAACGGTGCCCAAACGGTCCAGGTGGAACACTATGCAACTCTGCTTCGTCTCCAAGTCCGAGTACGGCAGCCCAAACGATTATTCCTGCTTGGAGTACCGACGTTCCGGTCTGGAATGCTCCTCAACGCCGAATTTGGCCCAAGATGGTGCTTCCGTGCCGGAATCCAAGTGCAGCTTTGCGCCGGCTTCCACGGCGAACGCTGCAAGCTTTGCCTGCGTCAAACCATCAACAATGGGTCCATGAAATGCAGCCGCTCGCCCGTCCGACTTACCTTGGTGGGCCCAAGAAGCGCGCAAGTTTACCTGAGGCTCCGGCCGGTATCCAAGGCGGGGAGGAGGAAGGGCAGTCCAAAAAAAACCCACTCACAAATCCAGTGCGGCTGTGCTATCGGACGTCCGACCACGCCTGCATGGCGTGCCTTGCTTCGTCCCTCTAGCGCGTCTAACCTCGACGGGGGCTCTTGCCAATTTGATCGCTGTTTTTATTGCAGAACTACTGCAGTTTTGCCAATGTGTAGTGGTGATGCTGATAAACCACGCCTAGCTGACCCGGTGCTGCTCCCTTGAACTACCGAAGCCTGCATATCATAGGAATCATTAACCAGGTACATACGACCATCCCATACTCTTGCTGACGATTCGGACCTGCCAGGCTGCAAATCTCTCCGTCGTATTTCAAAAAACGATGACGCTTCTGTATTACCATGAACACACTCTCTGAAGATCTTTCAGGCCAGAGGGGTGCCTCTAAGGCACTTTGAGGTTATCGATATTCACTTTTCTTGTTCATACCGGCTAATGGTTCTGACAGGGAGTAGGGTCGGCTCTACCACCAACCGCTTGTCCTCTGAATTCCGTGGCACTAGACATTCATCAATATGGTGGACACTCTTCTGTCATACATGCACACTCCCATCCGCAGCACCGATCATTTTCCAGAACGTCCCCCGCCTCGAAGTGTCTTCCTTACGGTCGCTCGGCTATTCTGCAAGCCTATGGCCCGGACGTGCTCCCGGGCTAGTCGAGACACCTTCCTCGTAATCATCCCGGAGGAATACCTCAGTCCTGCGATCGAATCCTTCCGCGGTTAGCATACCTCTCGAAATAGAAGCCCCTGGAACTCGTTGTACGCGAACAAGCTTGGACTCGGTCGAGCTTAAGACCTGCTCTATCCTTGCCGTGGCAGCGTGAACCAATGTTTGTAAGCAGCTCCCACTAAGTAGACGTCGAGATCTGGTGAGACTTTTCTTGACAACGGGTTCTAGTAATTAGACACTGACACTAGGTGCTGCGTTCTTCGGGGAATATTGTTAACCTCAGATGTATTTCTAGGGCTCGAACTGGCTTGCCTCGGAAGGTGAACTCGAAGATCATCTATTTGATCTCGTTTCTCCAGGATACAAGTCTTTGGCCTTTCTCATATTCCTACGGACATTTCGAGACATGGACTTCTGGTCCAAGACTGCTTTTCTAGAAGCAGTAGGTTGGCGGTTTAGGCAACCTCAACTACTCTCATCTCTTCCTATCCAATCACTTCAAACTACGGGTTTCCAGCTGTTTGCTTACCTGACATCTGACAATCAGGCCATCTTTGTGGAAAAAGCCACAAGCTAGGCACATCTGGCAAAGCAAATTGATAACGACCCAAGCTGGCGCCATACCCGCAAGGCCAAATCTGTGGCCTTCGGGGCTTTCCTCTAGTATGTCAACCGATCGATCCGAGTGGACTATTACACGAAAATGATAGACGTGGCTGCATATTTCTTCTGTTCTGCCGAGGCTCAGTTTGGAAGAAGGCCTGCGCCTCTAGGTTGCAGTTGTCTGGCGATGCTACGTTGTCCAGCAGCTTCTTCATCAGCCTTATCTGTCCGCCCCTTGTCAGTGGAACCGCCATACAGTCTCTCAAGGAGTAGTCTTCTACCTTGTTTTCTGCTTCTGACTGTGTTCCCCATGTCTCAGAGGGCCTGACCCAGGAAGCGCATTCGGTCCTATGAGGACATGAGCATGGCTTGTTTTCGCTGTCCACCAGCGACTCAACTCCAGGCATAAGCTTTCAGCCCCATCAACGGGCATATTCTCACAACTACCCACACAATCTTGAAATCGGGCGTCTTATTCCTGTCTGACCACCCGAACTTCGGTCCTTGGCTGGCGCATGCTTGTCCGAACATCGGGCGTGCAGGGCTTCCTCTCTCTTTCCTGGCCATGGCTTCCATATGCATACTTACATCCTGTCCCCAGCTCTGTATGGACTTTTGACTCTCCAGACAAGAACCTTATCGTTATACCCCCCAGGGCCACGGAATAAGACGAATAACAACCTGCTTTTCGTGGATCTCACACGCCCCTCCTTCTGCAGGACGCATCTTGGCTCCTGCCAGATCCAACTTTATCCATGTTCCCGTAGTGCCGGGGCGCCGCTTGGTACGGGGGGCCTCTCTTTTCTTCCCAGTTTCTGCCCTACGTCGGGAAAGGGCATGGGACGAACGGACGAGAACGGCGTTTCTCCCGGCTCCAAGCCTGCGGTTTACTCCTATGCCGCTCGGCTCGGGGGACACATCTCGGTTGAATGATGCTGACCGCTTGCTGTTAAGTCTCTAGAGTTATGTGTGCTTTTGGGCTTTTTCTTTCGTCTCGTTTGTTTCGATCTCAAGTTCTCGGGACATTCAGAAGATCTCGTTTGAGGATCAGGAGATCTTGCGCTGGGAGTCTCTTCCTCTCTTGACTTGTCTTGACCGTTGGAGGTTTATCGAGTCCCGGGGGACTGGGATTGCTCAAACTTCTTCCTCAAAGGTTCGTAAATCTACGATATACATGTGAAGACACAACGTGCCCTGGCTGCTTAGTATTTGGGTCTATCATCACGAACAAGATCCCTTGATTAGTTACTATGCCGTCATTGCTCTACATGGAGCTCTAGGACTAGGTTTCTGTCAGAGTTGGCATGTTACTCACGTTCTCTACTAAATTAGCATGTAAGAAAGCCGCTACTTCTATTCGAGACGGGAAACGGGTCAACTCTAGAGCCCGGATACCACAATACTCATCCAGCACTCTTATCAAAGCCCCGAGAATGTTGTGATCTATCCGATCTGGACATTACCGAAAGTCCATCAAGCCGTTGATTGTATCTTGGACGCAGACCCCCCTCCTAAGTCCGAAAGTGTCCGTAGCCCACGGACTATCGAATTTGTCTATTTGGCTGTCTTGCTTATCAAGAATCATAACGCATCGAATACAAGCACTCCCTGTGTGTGCGTCTCTCTAGTTGCCTGTGTGTCTATGGTTCCTGTGTGTGTATGTATGACTGCCCGTCCTCACCCTCCAGCAGCAGGAGCAGCAACAGCCATGTAAGTCAAAAGGTAAACATGGTCGTGCCCACCGCCTTGCAGCGTTCTTTGCAATTGGACGAACACGCAGAAACCGTATGTCCAGTCCTGCAAGCCTGCACTCATACACACGCACGCAC